ATATTGACAAATTATATATATATAATTTCTATATTATACTTTATATTATAATATAGATAATTTCTTTATATATTCAAATACTGCTTGCTAATATTCTTTTAAACTGATTTATACTTTTGATTGAATATCGCGTCAATGTAGAACTAGTGCGAACAGGTTTTTTTCGATCAGAAGATCTGCAAACAATCTTAAATTACATCACAAAAATCGATTCAAATAAAAAGAAACACAAACGCAAAATATTTGATACATAAAAATTTTAGACAGCCCGACGGTGCATTAATTTGGCAGAGATTTTATTCGGCAGATATGCTGGTAATCAAGAATTTCCGCGCCGGACGGAGATGGTAAAACTGAACCGCGAGCAAACAGTAATATGGGCGGTTTTACGCTAGGAGAAACGGACAGTGTGGCGACTGTTGGTGTGCATCGAGGAAATCCAGAAAAATCGCTTTCTCTTTTGTACCAGCGTGGTCCACAATGTGGATAAAAATACGATGAACGTGCAATTTCGCCTTCATACTCGCCTTTGTAGTAACCACTTCATACCTTTTCCATTTACCACACATTGCTATTCTCATTCCCCTCAAAAAAAAAAAAAGTTTCTCCCTTGAAAATAAAAATTCGCTTAGTATACAATATATTTCGAATTGATGTATTGATGAACTATTTTTCAGATCACGTTGCCTGACGATACAAATAATTTGCATAAAATTCTCTTTAAATTATTTATTAAACTATTAATTACTTGTATCTGTATTAGAATTTTAGTATTAGAATCGCTTAATCTTGGTGAAAAAAATTTTTTCCGTCATAAAGATGGTTAAATAGAGAAAAGAGAGAAAGAAGAAGAGAAAGAGATTTATTATATTCATCTTATTGAATGTAGACTATCGATTTGATAAAGTTGTCGAGAAGTTGATAAATAAACTTTAGTTTTTACAAACTTTTTCTCATCTTTCTTATATTTTTCTTCATAAAGTTGCACATCTAACTGATTATGAGATAAGCTGATTCAACAACATCAAACATATCTAATAATTGTCGGATGTTCAGTATACGTAAAAATTGTAATTCATCTGAAAACTTCTTATGGCACGACAAGGATAAATGCAAAACGAAAAAAAAAGCAATTGCGATATATCAATGTCGTACAACAACCGCAAAAGCATCCGCGAAATCCGGTCGAGACCGTGTTTTTACGAACGTTCCCTTTTGCCCGCGAGACGCAAAATTGCGGAATGTACGCTGCGGCCTGGTTCTCTTATTGCGTCGCGCAGAAAATACATATACGTTCCGGTAGAAAAGTAAGTAGTTTCGTTTAAAGCAGTAGTTCTCCCTTTTTATTTCTATTTCTCTCTCTCTCTCTCTCTCTCTCTCTCTCTCTCTCTCTCTCTCTCATTTTCCTTTTTTTTTCTTTTAAGCTTTTTAGGTCACAGATTTCTTAAATCATAAAAATTATTTTAGAATGTGAATAAAAATATGAGTTGAAGGAACGCACGACGCTTCTAAAAGCTCGTTTTGTTTCTAAATATTAAATGAGAGCACATTTCATGCAAACTAAGATGCAAACTAAGATGCAAACGAAGAACATGTTATTAAATAATGTTTCACTTCTTTTTGTGCTCTAATGTATCTATTTTTCAATAAATTTTTTTTTTAAATGATCTCTGCTCAACGATCGGCACTAGAAGCCCATTTAAAGCAGAGGGATGAATCCCATTGAAATAACAATCGCGCAATGAGGTGCTAACTCGAATGCCCGTTAAACTTTTCAAAATATGGTATAGTGGGCGCATTGGACTCAAGCGCAGCAAGGGTAAGGGAACAATAACGACATTGTTCGCTTTTGGTACGCGAAGACCCAGCGTGTGCAATCTGCGGGCCTGGCATTGTCTCGTTAATTAAACGGATAAGCCATTGCGAGCCGACGGTGACGACGGCAACTAACAGCGACGATGCAGACCATCGGGAGCTGACGCTAAGGGAAGCAAACGTGAACGAACGAACGAACGAGCGAACGAACGGCACCACTCGACACGTTGCACAAAGCAACGGAAACGTTTGACGGGGTTGACGGACGTAGCCGGAGATAACAAAGTTGGTGGCGCGATGGTAACGTCGAGCCGGCCGGCAGAGAGGCTGACGGAGAGAAGACTTCAAAGCTGAGGAGGATGGAATCATGTGGGAAGAACAGAATAAACGTCTATTCACATACATTCCCACCCAGGGATCCAGTCTCCCAACATACACATACTGACTTCTACAAATGTACGCAACGTTGCTGTCATTCAGTTTACATTTGATCAATAAAAAGCAACGTGTGTAAGCACCGGCTTGGATAAATTTTTAAAACCGATTCATTTTACTGCAGCTGTTATTTCATTTTCTAGTTCGATTCAAAAATAAATGGCAATGGAAATATAAGATAAAAAAATCTAGCTTATATCAAGGGAAAAATCTCTATTAAAATAAATATTTTTATCCACAGAGATATAATGTCAAATCTGTACGAGAAAATATTTGAAGAAAATCTTGTGAATTATTCGAGATGTTATTTGATTTAATTAATCTAAATCAATCTAATAAAAGTTGAAGAGATATGTAGATGAAGAATTGACATTTTGAGTATTTAAACAGCACTCTAATTATTTACTTTTTAAAATATTGCTTAATTTAATGTTCTATACATTTTATATAATGTGTATCGTAACAGCGAGATTGCATCTCACATTTAAAACATTGTTAGCTAATGAATGAATATACGTAAACTTAACATGTTATATTGTTCATTTTTCTATCGAATTTAATACTTCATAAAATGTAAAGATTTTGAAACTATAATTTTCATTACATTTTTATGAATTTTTAAAGAACTTGTTTCAACACCTGTAACTAACATCTTATATTTAATTATTTGATAATATAAGCAAAGTCTACAACATTACATTTAATCAAAGGATAAACATTTGTTTAAAAATGTAAGTTGGAAAAGATCTGATTTAATAATATCTATGTATTTAATGTAGAGAAATTATAGAGGTATTTTGTAATTATAATGCGTAACATAATTATAATATATTATGAATTTTGTGACAATTAGTGGTAGCATAATTAATTAACATTTAACATCTCTGTTGTAAAATCATATCATTACAAATTAGCACTAAAAATCTAAATTCGTATTAGTAATTAATAGTGATAGCGAAGAAATAGTGCCAAAATGAATAATAAATTAACATTGATGTATTAATATATATAATAAACAATTTATTCAAATATGAAATAAATTAATTTCGCAAACCGCACGTTTCGAGTAACAAAGCATCTTTCATAAGCGATGAAAGAGAAGAATTTGGAATTCCCCCAAAAATGATCATTACAGACGTCATACTTTTCTTCACAAGGTTACAATTTTATAAAAAATAATATGATATTTGAATAAATCTCAGGTGTCGCACTAAATAAGCTAAGTAACAATATTATATGAAAAGGAGGAAGAGAGAGAGAGAGAAATATCTAGAATTAGAGATACATATAATGTTTCGCAATTATATAGCGCTTGATTTATGTTTACTATATGATAAATATATAATATATTTATTTGGGTGCCTCCCAGGTTACGTGTTCAGATGGGAAGCATTGAAAGTATTTTCCCTTATTGAAGTTGCATCTCCTCCTTCCTCAAGAGATCTTCGTGTGACCGAATAACGGAATATGCACGAGATGGAAGAATAGGTAGAACAAGACTGGCTGGTCCCGCGGGAAGACGAGCTACGCTGTCAAACCTCCGATCAATTTTTCACTCACGTAATTCCTTCGCTATACAATTTTCCGATATGTGTACTACTTGTTGTGTTAAACCTGCCAGCGTCGCAGGAGACCAGATCGATTTTGAAATTCTCTTCCGTTCAAACGCATTCTTACTCTTCCTCCTCGTTCTACTGTGCAATAATTGAAGAGTGGACATGACACAATATATTAATAAACAAAAAGATCGCGACTGAAATAAGAAATAAATTTCAATAACATATTGTAAAATAGTCAATCACGGAACATCTTCCTTTCTAAGATCGTAATTCTGAGAAACATAAAGGATAGAGAAGAATATCTCTAAATTATTATAGCTAGGCAATTCTCCAGTACGTAGAAAATTCGATTTAAATTAAAAATATACTTTCTTCTTCATAATAAATTCTCTAATTTTCTTCATAATGATTCTTCCTTTTTGAGATGCTCTTTAAGTTACTTCAGAAGTATATCAGTTTTATGGACATCGTTGTACTTAATTTACTGCGATACGTCAAGAGCATTAAGTCGCTCTTGCTGTAGTTAGTAACTGCATTTTCTGCTCGCCAACGATCCTTTGTTACTTTTCGCATACACTCGTCTTGCTTTTCGTCGTATTAATACGGATACTAGTGTTGAGTCGGCTGTTGCAGGGCATCACTAATAGATGCTAAAATACAATTTGCTGATAGATACGCGAACAGCCTTCGGAGGAGCAGATTTTAGCAGGAGTAGAATATTAATTAACGTCGCACGATTCCATTAAAATGGTGCGCTGTCTAAAGGATATATCCATTTATCGTTAATAGGCTATTTAGCGCGACACGTGGGATTTATCCGAGTATCATTACTCTTTGTGAAATTATAACCTTGTGAACAAACGTGTTACATACGTAATGATTTTGCAATAGAGGGTGAAATGTTAATTAATTACGCTATTACTAATCGTCACAAAATTCATATATTATAATTATAATATATGTATATATGCATTGTGATTAGCGAATATAAGAAATATTGCTTTATTATAAAATTATCCTTATTTCTGTGAGTGCATATAATTATTTCAGCTTTCTTAGATGCGTCTATACAAATTTCTGTATACATTTAACAAATTGAAATGGAATTTAATGAATTTATTTTAAAACGTATATTGTAGTAATCAATATCTTTATATTATTAAAGAAGTGTCCATTGTTAGAGATACCAGTACTGTTTGAAGTTCTTCGAAGAAGTTTTGTACGCGCAGAAACTTCTATATGTTGCAATTAATAGAGTCATTATTGGATGAAAGAAGGTTTAATCCTCAAGAGACGTACTGAGAAACGTTTTTGCGAATTCTAGCACTAAAGGGTTGCCTCTCATTCTTGGTCCAATTTCGCCAGCAAACCAGTGCGTATACGAAGCAATGAGATGAAATACCTCAGGGAACATAGGAGAGAATTCTGCAATACCTATATGACATGGAGGGGTAAGGCAACTTGCCGTTCGTTCTCTCTAAAGATCGATTTTAGGCTTTATCACAATATCAACTCTCGCCAAATCCCATGACTTTTCGAATTGCTGATTGATTACAAGATTAGGATTGATCATATAAAAAAAACACATGGCTGTAATAAATCACGTGACCGAATGAATCATGTAGACATAATCTTCATCCATCTCTACTTCTCTATTTCTCTAATTCTTTCTTTCTCGCACGTTATGACCCTTAATGTGCAAAAACGGAGAAATAGCTTGAAAGCGGCCAGTAGGGTGACAGTTCAGAAGGACCAGCACGATCCAGGGATTCACGCGAGACATTTCTCTCCTCCGCAAAAAAATCTAGGACGTAGACGACAGTAGGACGTATTTAGAAATAAATTATATATTTAATATAAAATTTATATATTTAATATAAATTTAATATAAATCCTTGTTATACACAGCATCGTGTATCATATGGAATAACTAATAATTACCATATTGTGAAATGTATGGAATAGGCTTAATAAAAATGTTTAAATTTTATTGCCTTACTATACAACCTATAATTATGACCTGGATTAATCAATAAGCCGATAGGTTTAAAAAAAATCTCTGATAAATAAGCTTGTAAGAAATACTTTCTGTTTAATATCATATAACTATTAATTATTAACAATTTTACTTTTTGAAACAGTTTTCATATATTATATGAATCAAATAATCAGTTATCTTTTTAAAAAAAAAATCGTGGTTTGTTCAAAGTATATTGTAGCTTAGAAAATTCACAAACCACATCTTTTTAAAATAAACATTTCAGCAGAACTAGATTTTTCCATAAATTCTGCTCTTTGTAGAATTGCATAACTGAGCATTCCATGTAAAACAAAAATTAAACACGTGCCCTTTCTTACCAAGTTCTTTCAAAGAAGAACTTTTTTCTACATTTCGCGTTTTGCTTTTCTGTCATTTTTTTTCATTCTTCGACGAAACTAGCATTATTTCCCTCGAAAATAATGGATACGCGTCTTCATGGAACGTTACATCTCTACATAATAGTGCTTGTCAATGTACACAATCAGTTCATACGCAGATTAATCCGAGTAGTAATTTAGCTAGTCTACGAGTGAACCGTGAGATTTACTTGCCTCCGTATGCACTTATCAACATGTATATCTACATATTCATTTTACATACTTAACAATGCATCTGCGAGTTTCTCTCATAGAATTTCACATCTCGCCAGCGGCAAAACATATAAAGGACAGTAAATTTTTACAAAGTAAGTACAGAACGATAAAATTTCTTTTATCAGTACAAAATAATAGGTATATAATTAATAAATGTCGTAATCACTTTGTGACTGATACCTTGCAAATCTAGCGTTTCAGTAAATTTTTATTAAGAAAATATAATCGATAAAATCGATTAAGAAATATATGCTATGAGAAATAAGCAAGCATTTTAAGTACAACTTTTTACATACAATAAGCGTATCAAGATTTCACTTGAGCGGATCTTGTATGCAAGGAAATTAAAAAAGCCGGTTTTCATACTGGCAAGACACAGTCAATCTCTCAATATAGAAATACGGAATTTTTCGCTGTTTACTGAAACGGTTTCGCTATTGATCGGTCCTGGTCGCAGCAGTTATTCGGTTAGTGAATAAAGTTTCGCCGACGAGGGATTCTGAGATGAGAAGAATCCTCGCGGGAACGAATTTTTGTCGGGGACTTTGCGACGCGTTCTTACCAGCGCACAAAGCCGCTATGTTTACGTATATCTACATGATGCCTCTTTCATCCGGCCATGGCTTCGAGTAGTTGCATGTTGACAACGTAAGCAGTATAATATATAATTCGGTATACATTCTATAATAAATTCAGCAAAGAATAAATTGGGAGGAACATCATAAGAAACCGCCAGAGTATGAAAAATGTCAATAAAGATGATCTTGTGATGGATCTTTCGTAATGGAATTTGAAAATTTAAGTTCTATATGTTCTTTAGATTAAATTTAGAAATGTCTAAAAATTTTTTAAATATCTCAAAATGTAAATAATAGATGTTCTTCGTAATTAATTGTACTTTTAAAAATAAATAAAATCTCACTTTAATTTTTTATTGTATAACTTTTCTGTTTCAGTGAGAGATAAAACGATTTAAAATGTCAAAAAGGTTTCCGTTTGACAGTTTTTGGAAAGATATATTATATTGTTGAATTAAAGTTCTTTCCCTTTTTTCTCAACGTAGTAAAATAATCTGTTGTATAAAAACTGCTCAAATAGGATTTATGTTGCATATATTAGTGGATATTTATTTAAGTGGACGTCTCTGCCAATAGGTGACAGCACCTTATGAGGCAAACCACAGGAACAAGAATTCCAGTGAATTAATTTTTTTTATGTACCTGTTTCGCTGCAGAACAGATATTTAATCAATATTCATTGAAACTTGACAAAATACAGTAAAATAAATCTCATTTGTGTTATCGATGTAAAAAAAAAGAATTCTGCGCGCTAAATGCGGATCAGTCAATAACGTTCCATGAATCTTTCAAAAAAATTAATGTATTAGCTTTGCAATAATCATACATTTTCAATTTATTATTAAATTTACTCAATTTACTATTATATATAATAATAATAATTATAATCAATATATATATATTGTTCGTTATTATTTTCTTGCAGAAATAAATTCTCATTAGATTTGAACTTGTACAAGTTAAACTTCGTTATTACTAAGTACAGATACCACAATATTTTCTCATCGTCATCGGAAGTCAGATAAACCGGTTCTCGTCAAACGATTTATACAAAAAAATAATATAAAATCTATAACGCATAACTTTCTTTTAGAAAACATGAGATGATCTTTTGTGAACTAGATCTGATTTAGTTTTATATGCAGGGTTTAGTTAAAAAAGATAAAAATCTTCTTACAAAGAGTTCTTTAGAGCTTTACTTCGCTGCATTACTTCCGTGTTATAACATTACGAATATAATAATATTATGTCTGTGTTAATTGACGTACATTTAACATTCTCTCGCTATTCAAAGTTAAAAGTTTAATGTAATCTGCAATGTAATTCTCGTAATGTATAGATCCAAACTAAATTTTTACAGATCTAAACGAAATTTATATCAAAGTTATTTAAAATTTGTGCATAATTATTGCATTCATTAATCTAATTAATATCGAAAAATAATGAAAGTTTAATCGAGAATCTTTTAAAGTTATATATGTGTGTATATATATATATATA